CAGCTTCTTCTGTTTTCTCAAAGATGTTTTAGGTGTATGGGTGTTTTGCCTGCATTTATGTGTCCTATGTATATGCAGTCCCTGTGGAGGCCAGAAGAGGGCACCTGATCTCTTAAAAAACGAGTTATAAATGGTTGTGATCAGTAAGGACTCGGAATTGTTCCCAGTTTCTCTGGACAAGAAGCCAGTGAGTGCTCTTAGCTACTGAGCCTTTTCTCCAGCCCCTCAACCAGCTTCTTTTGATATAACTCACTGAGCAAAGACACTTGAGTTCAGTCCCCAGCACCCACAATGAAGGAGAGAATGACTCTTAGGTTGTTCACTGAACCCTACATACATACACACAAATAAGTAAATCTAATTTTTTTATATTTAAAAAAAAAGCAACCTAGTTACTTTTAAAAAGGGGGTGGGGAGTAAAAAGCAAGACATTGTATCTTGGCCTTTAATCCCAGCCCTTCTTAGGAGGTAGAGGCAGGAAGACCATCTCTATTACAGAGAGCCTAACAGACAACATCCAGCAGTGCTAGAGACATTCCAGCTTGTAAATCACACAAGCGTGATGTCTGAATTGTGTGTGGATGAGAGAACAGTTAAGGGTTTAGGAATTAGGATCAGTTCCACCTGTGAAGCCGGCTCGACCTTTCCGGGTGAAAACTGATGAGAGGAGGCCAGGTTGGTGTGCACCAAGATACAGAAACAGGTTGATCTTTTTCCAAGACAGGCTTGTTCTTTGTAGCCCTGGCTGTCCTGGAACTGTCTCTATATACCAGTCTGGTCTCAAATGCTAGGATTAAAGGTGTGTGCCACCACCAGCGCACAGCTCAACTTGAATATTTATTTTTTTTTAAATATTTATTTATTATGTATACAATATTCTGTCTGTGTGTATGTCTGCAGGCCAGAAGAGGGCACCAGACCTCTTTACAGATGACTGTGAGCCACCATGTGGTTGCTGGGAATTGAACTCAGGACCTATGGAAGAGCAGGCAATGCTTTTATCCACTGAGCCATCTCTCCAGCCCCACTTGATTATTTTTTAACAATTAACTTTAAATTGCAACCATAAAAACTAAAGAGATGGCCCTGTAGTTTAGAGCACCTCCTGCTCTTGGAAAGGACCTGGGTTCAGTTCCCAGCACCTGCATGGCAGCTCACAGCCACCTCACTCTATTCCAGGAAGTTGAATGCCACCTTCTGACTCCCTCAGGCTTGGGCATGCACCTGGTGCACATACATACACTCACGCAAACATCTAAGTAAGAGGGCTGGAGAGATGGCTCAGCAGTTAAGAGCATTGCCTGCTCTTCCAAAGGTCCTGAGTTCGATTCCCAGCAACCACATGGTGGCTCACAACCATCTATAATGAGGTCTGGTGCCCTCTTCTGGCCTTCAGGCATACACACAGAAAGAATATTGTATACATAATAAATAAATAAATAAATAAATATTTTTAAAAAATCTAAGTAAGAATGTTATATTAGGGAGGCAATAGCAGGAAGATCTCTGAGTTCAAGGCCAGGGATACACATATACTGAGACTGTGTCTCACATATAAATTAAGGATTTGAGTAGGAAATAACATATATCACGTACAATGATCAGTAAGTGAAAGGTGAGTCTTCTAGGAAGAAGACTGAGCTAGGAAATAGATGTGGAAGAATGAGGGCCTGCCGCTGTGGAGGCTAGGATTGCAGTTCTGAAGTAAATTAACTAGCCCAAGTGCAGGAGGTCCTGCACTTAGTCCTTACTTAGTCTTCCTTAAGGTAGACTGAAGACAGATATAAGAACCTGCTAGAACATGTGGACAGAGTTATTCAATTGTGTTGAACAGTAGGGGCGGTGAGTGGTGAGGTGGCGAAGCGGGGGATTTTGACATGTTGGTGGCCTGAACTTGTGGCAGTTGGAATGTGGAGCAGAGAAAGAAAATAATAGTTTTGAGGGGTGTTTGTTTGTTTGTTGTTGTTTTTGGTTGGGCATTTCTTTTCGAAACAGGGTTTCTCTGTGTAGCAGCTCTGACTGTCCTGGAACTTACTTTGTAGACCATGCTGGGCTTGAACTCAGATCTTCCTGCTATTGCCTTCCTAATATAATCCGCTGCCTCCGTCTTCTAAGTGCTGATATTAAAGATGTGCGCCACGCCCCCAGCTTGAAGGATATTTTAGCGGGTCTCTGAATAAAGCTGAAAGTTCCTTAGAGCATGTGAAAGGGTGGCCTAAGATGTCTTCCCCTTCTGAGCTTAAAAAGACCAGGAGAGTGTCTAGGAGCCTGTACGTAGTGTGTGTTGGCTAATGTGCCCTGGAGGTTCTAAGTAGAGAATGGGTGTGAGAGCCAAGGGATGCTCAGAATCACATGCTCTGTATTCTCGGGGTCACAGCCCCACTGACCAGCCCTCCCCACAGATTCAGATGCCACTGCCTCTTCAGATAACAGTGAGACCGAAGGGACACCCAAGTTGTCTGATACACCAGCCCCCAAGAGGTAAGAAGGAGCCGTAATTGTCCAGAGTAGGGGTTGAGGATCTGGGCTTTCCAGCTGCCTCTGACCCTTCTTCCTATCCCTTCTCCAGGAAGAGAAGCCCTCCGATGGGCAGTGCCCCGTCCCCTTCCAGCCTCTCCTTGCCTACTTCAACAGGATTTCCGCTGCAGACTTCTGGGGCCCCGTCCCCATACCTGAGTTCGGTGAGTTGGGATCAAGACCAGGAAGTAGTGCATGCACTACCGTGCCTGGGAAAACAGTGGGCATCATTTGGGCAAAGGGGCTAGGTCTCAGGGCGAGGCTTCCCAACTCAGGATGTTTCCACATGTGGCCAGCAAGTAGCCTTTGGAGGGTGTGAGTCAGGCTGCCTACATCTCTCCTGGGTAGGACTAGGGGCAGACCCAGGACACAGTCCTGCCGCTGTCCCTCCCCTCTGTTCTCAGGAGCCTGGGAGCCACACTCATCATCATCTCTTGTTTTTCCATCTCCTGTGTGCATTTCCGCCCTTCACCCCTCCATTTCCCATCTCCATCTTCCTACTCCCACCTCAGCTGGCTTCTCCCGCTTACCCCCCATTCCCTTCTGACTACCTGGCCCTGCAGCTGCCTGAGCCCAGCCCCCTGAGGCCCAAGCTGGAGAAACGGCCCCGCCTACCCCGGAAACTCAAGGTACCCTGATGTGGGGACTCTAGGGAGGGGCCACAAAGGCAGATATCCACCTGAAGGAAGCTTAAGACTAGAGGGCGCGCACAGAGACTTTGGGTGTTTTGTTTGAGAAAGGGCCTCTTGTAGGTAGTAGATGACTTTGAACTGTTGGTCCTCCTGCCTCCACGTTCCAGGCGCTAGGATTACAGGCATGTGCACCACATCTGGTTCACTCAAGTGCTGACTTGAGCCCAGTGCTTCATGCGTGTTAGGCACACACTGTACCAGCTGGGCTGTATCCCCAGCCTGATATCCAAAATTTGAAAGATTGGTTTGAAATGTTAAGACTCGGTCCAAGGCTCAACCCTGAAGGGCAGAGCAGAGGAGCTCCCAAGTTAGGCTGCTTGAGGTTCTGCCTCACAGCCGGGCTCTCTGAGCAAGCCCTGCAGCATGGCTGGAGCTGGGCAGGACTGTGGTGTGTAGAGTCCCGGCTCCCCTAGTTCAGAGCAGTGTGACTTTGACAGGGGATCCTAGGCTCAGATGAAACAGGGAAATGAGCAGGTGGCCATGGAGCGCCTCTCTGCCCTGCTGCCGCTCTGACAAACAAGGAGCCAGACCCTGTAACCCTGCTGAGCTCCTGCTCCGTCTGCAGAATGGGCAGAAGGTAAATAAGGTGGATTGGCCCCAGCAGAGAAAATGAGGACAGTGGCAGGACTTTGAAGGTAGATTATCTAGGGTGCTGCTGAGTGGGTACAGGAAGCACGCCGTGAGTGTGCTTGTTGAAAGACAAGGAGGAACACAGCATGCTGGCACACGTCTTTAGGCCCACCCAGCCACCTGGGAGTCAGAGGCAGATGAATCCCTGTGTGTTCAAGTCCAGCCTGGTTTGTAAAGTGAGTTCCAGGCCAGCCAAGGCTACATAATGAAGTTGTATTTCAAACAAGAAAAAGGGGGGGGGGGGCTGGAGAGATGGCTCAGAGGTTAAGAGCACTGACTGCTCTTCCAGAGGTCCTGAGTTCAATTCCCAGCAACCACATGGTGGCTTACAGCCATTTATAATGAGATCTGGGGCCCCCTTCTGGCTTGCAGGCACACGTGGAGGGAATGCTATACACATAATATAATAAATAAATATTTAAAAAAAAAAGAAAGAAAAAGAAAAGGGGGGGACGGCTGGACAGGTAGTCAGAGACCTGGTGCCTGAGGGAAGCACATAGGACCCTGAGGTGAAAGAGAGACAGGAGTGAGAGCCACTTGGGCAGGTTAAGCAGGGCAGGATGTAGTTCCCGCTTGCATTGTAGACACATGGACAACATGGCTGTGTGGAGATAGGCCTGGAGTAGTCAGGATGGTGGGAAGGAAGGGCCTTCAAGAAACCCAGAAGAGCTCCATGGCTCCATGTCAAAGACGGGTTGCAGGGTTTCCCCAGGTTAACTGTGAGAGGGAGAAGGGAGCCCAGAAGGACTCCAAGGTTCTCTTCCCTGAGCAGTGAAGAAGTAGGGGGCAGTGTTTCTGGGATGAGGATGATGGAGGAGCTGATTTTAGAGGAGAGATGAAGAACCGGCCTTGGGCCTGTTGAGAAGGCGTCTGCAAGTGCTAACTGGACAGCGGCCTGTGTGAGCTGAGTCTCTAGGGCTGCATGACTGGTGAAGGGAAGAGGCCGACCAGGAAGCCCCGGGAGTGATGAGAACTGAGCCAAAGATGCAGGAAGGTGGGAATGGCCGTCACTGGACCAGGCTAACCAGCTCTCGGTGCTCTGGCACCACAAGCAGAATCAGAGGTTGTATTTATTAGTGGCTAGGAGTGGGGTTCTGCTTGACCTAGTGGTGTGCACCTTTAATCCCAACTCTTGTGAGGCAGAGGCAGACTGTGAGTCTAAGGCTATCCTGCTCTCCATAGTGAATTCTAGGCCAGCCAGGGCTGTAGCCTCAGAGAGAGGGGATGGGCAGGCAGGAGAAACCATGGAAGGATGGATTGTAGGGCTGGAGAGATGACTCAGCAGTTAGGATCATTCGCTGCTCTTCCAGGGGACCCACGTTCAGTAGTTCACACCAAACAGCTCACAGCCTCCTGTACCTCTAGTTCCTGGGGGTTAAGTATGAACTTAGGGGACTAGGCATGTGACTCAGTAGCAGTGCTTGCCTGGCATTTTCAAGGCCCTAAGTTTGATCTCTGGTACTGGAGGAAACAGTGGGGCAATAATACACACTGGCCTTTCCTGAGAGGTTTTGCTTCTTGCCTTCAGGACAGGTGGGAGAAAACAGCTCAGCAATTTAGGGTAGGTAAGAGGTTTGGGTGTTTAGTCTGGGTTGATAGGGAAAGACTTGAGTCAACTGCCTTAGGTGGGGCATGGGAGGATCCAGGAAGGGCTGATGCTGGAGCATGGGGTCTGAAAGATTAGGGTAGGTAGTTCCAGCTGAGGTGGCATGGGAGTGTCGCTCAACTCTTCTCAGTCTAAATGAGTGAGAACATAGCCGAGCCAGCGCCTGGGCCCCGGCAGCCCATAGAGCCACACTGACTGCTCTTGGTCATACTGAGGAAATACTGGCTAGGGTAGTTCCTGGGGAGCAAGGTGGTGATGCAGAGGGGGGCCAGCAGAGGCCTGGGTCCTCATCACGCATGTCATCTCTGGCACATGGGGTTGTCTTGGTTACTTTCCTATTGCTATGACACCATGACCAAGGCGACCTGTAGAGTCCATGATGCTGGGCAGGGGGCAGCGGGAGGAGAGATGGAGAATGAGAGCATCTGAGCTGAGAACAGTGAGGGCTTTTGAAAAGTCAAAGCTCACCTCCAATGACACGCCTCCTCCAGCAAGGCCCACTTCTTCATTCTATAAAATTCCAACAGCTGGGGATCAAGTATTCAAACATTAGAGCCTCTGGGGGGCAGCATTCTCATTCAGATCACCACAGGGGTCCCGGTTCTCCCCAGAGCTGGCCCTCCAGTCCGCAGCCATGTTTCCTGAGGCCTTGCCTACTCTAGCACCGTCACATGACCCCACAAACAGGTAAGGGTCTGGAAGCAATCAGGAGGCCACGGGGAGACCACACAGACGTCGTTTGCTACCCCAGTCCCAGGGGCACCTTGGGCCTGCCCAGTGAGGACTAGCGTTCTGTCCCTTTAACTTCCCTTTCCAGGGTGGTCCTATAAAGTAGAGATTATTGATAGAAGTTACCTTCTATCAATGGTAGGTGTTCAGTTTGTGCCCACGACATGTGAGCTGTCACAACATGCAGAGAGCTCTCTTGAGGGAGGATGTGTGAGGACCTGGCAGGGCGGGGCAGAGCAGAGGCCCCAGCTCAGAGGACAAAGCATGACCTTGACAAATGGAGCAGGGTCAGCCTGTTAGGCACACCTCACTGACCATCCTGAGGGCAGCCAGGGCCCTCAGGCAGAGGAGTGACATGCTCAGGTTTGTGTTCTAGAGTGATCACTCTGGCCGCAGTGTGGAGGAGGAGCTGGATCTGGGAGAGGCTGAAGGCAGGGAATCCAGTTAGGAGGCTGGTACCTAGACCAGGTGAGCTGAGAGGAGGGCCTGACCCAGGCCGGTGACTGCTGGGGTCCCAAGGAGGGGCTCATCCACAATGCTATAGAAGCTGGGGAACAGAGCTACTGCTTAGGCTTCTGGCTCAGGTAGCCTGTGATGCCCACCATGAAACAGTGAATCCCACAGGAGGAGGAGGGAAAGCTGACCAATGGTGGCAGGTGATACCCAAGGTGCCCAGAGGCAGGAGGAAGGCACTCTGAGCTAGTCCTGAATCTGGCTTTAACTGCTGGCACAGAGCAACCATGGTGCTTTGCTAGCGAGGAAGGAGCCCAGTTTTTCTGTCAGGCTCCCTGTGAGACCCCCTCACCCATCCCCATCATGCCTCCATCACTGCCCCTCACCCAGGCACTTCACGGCTTGAGACTGAGGGGCTGCGGTGGGGCTGCCCTCACCCCTCGAGCTGCCTTTCAGTGGGTGTTGTGCAGCTGCCTAGTGCCAGTGCATCTGACAAGTCCTCCTTGTGTCTCTCCCCTGCTGCAGATGGCTGTAGGACCCCCTGACTGCCCTGTGGGTGGGCCACTGGCCTTCCCTGCCAGGGGTTCTGGGGCCAGTGTTGGGGCAGCCCTGACCCCCCTGCCTCCTCCCAAGATGCCCCCACACACGATCCTGAGCACCGTCCCCCAGCAGATGTTCAGCGACGCAGGCAGCGGGGATGACGCCCTGGATGGAGACGACGACCTGGTAATCGACATCCCGGAGTAGCCGCCATGACCTGCCGAGCCCCGCACAACACGCGCGAGCGAGCCCACTTCTCCAAGAGATGTTTATTGATGCCCAGTTGCCATGCTTCGGCCACTGACACAATCAGAAAAGGCGTAAACATGCACAAATGTCCCCGAGGAAGGTGGCAGGGGCCCTGCCCTCACATCCCAGCCCCATCCAGGGGACAGTTATTTAAATGAGTGGCCAAGAGGATCTGCCACATCTTAGGGAGCAGAGACCCTGTGGAGGCCGCCCCTTTAGAAGAGCAGCTGAACGGGGCTCGGACTTTTTAAAGAAGGCTCTGTATTAAAGGGCTGGCTCTTTCTTTCCTTGTTCTTTCCTCCTTTGGAAATGTCCTCCTCTAATCTCCCCTAATCCGACCTCCTCCCTGTGCAGCAGGGGGCCGGGCAGCCTGGAGAGGCCAAGAGAGGAGTAGCAGGGTGGGGTAGGGGCACTGGCAGGACACCCCACATGGCCCCGTGCGCGTGGGGGTTGCATATTTGTGGTAACAGCAAGTCAGGCAGGAGAAAGTTTGCATATGTGAAATAGCTCTCCATGGTCCCTCACAAGAAGACAGACCCACGGTCACAGAGACTCACAAAAATAAGACAGGTAGTGTGGGGCAGGGGGCATCCCACCCCATGTAAACGTGCAACACACTCGTGCGAAGGTTGGGTACTGGACCCGGCCCCAAGGGCCTGTGCTGGGCAGCTACTGTCTGCTCAGGCCAAAGGGAAAGCCCCTGCTGCTGGGGGCAGCTCGCTGGTCAGGGTGTGCCAGCGCTCCAGGGCTGTATCCGGTTGATGTAAACAGTCACTCCAGTGTTTCTGTGCTTCTCCCCGGGCTCCTGGCCCCAGAGACACACCACCTAGAGAACAGCCAAGGCAGGCAGACCCAATCAGTGCCCATTCTCCTGCCCCACTTCCCTCGGCACCTGGTGGGCCCCTCCACTCACCGATGAAGTCGTTGGATTTGCCAATGTCGTAGTCCCAGACTGTGACTTCCAGGGTCTTGGTGGCCAGAGTGGAGAGTTCCATCTCATAGAAGAACTCCTGAGAACAAGGCGGGCAGTGCTCTGTCAGGCCTTCTGACCACATCCCCACCTCCAGCCCATCTTCACTTCTGCTCCTTGTCATGTTTACCTCATTAAATTCTGGGTTTAATGTCTTCTTCTTTACACATGTTTTATGCTTGGATTTCTTATCCACATCTGGTCTCAAGTACCTAGGGAGAGAGGGGAACCATGAAGTTAGGGACAGGCTAAGCCCCAGAGCAGTCAGGCTGGGGTCAGGCTTGGGCAAGGGCTCACGTCTTCACATAAGGGTCAGAGTAGCCGTTAACATCCATGGCAGCCAGGTGGGCACAGCGAACAATGCCCACCAGCAGCCCGTGCCGCCTGGAGCTGTAGCTGAGGCTCAGCAGGATGCGCCCACGCTCTTCCAGCAGCCCAGGTCCCTGCTCTGCCTGCTCTAGCTGCCAGAAAAGGAGGCAGGGGTCAGAGGTCAGTCTAGGACCTCTCCCACCTCCCACCGAGACAGGGTTCTCAGGAAGTGCCTCACCTCCTTTAGGTAACAGGAAATGCCCCTCAGTGCCGCAGACATTGAAGAGGGTGAAGGAAGCTGAGGGGGCAAAGACAAGGTTCTGGCAAGCTGACCTCTCCAGGTCCCCTCCCCCATACCCATTAGCCCCACACAGACCGGGACCTGGCGCTCAAGGCAGATGTTAAAATGCTTCTTCTGTGAAGGCTTGAGGCGGCGGAGGGGCACTCGGATCTCCCCGATAAACTCATTGTGGCTCAGCTTGTCCTCGTCACAGACAGAGATCCTGGCGGGGAACTGCAGGGTCAGGGCCCCTGGGTATCTGAGCCCCACTCCAGAGGGAGAAAGGGGTCCTTGGACCAGTCCCAGCTCTGCCCTAAGTTTGTCACCTCATCTGTAAAATGGGTGGAGGCTTGAGAAGGGCAATTGGGTCCGCCCTGCCTGCACTGAGCTGTCTTGTACCCATCAAGAATTACCCAGCTGGACAGGAAGTCCTCACAGCTTCCATAACTCCCATTCCCCACCTGGGGACAGGTGCCAGCTGAACCCCGCGGGGTGTGGCCACAGGCACAGTGGTAAGAGTCCCCTGTGGGTGTTTAGCTGCTTTACACAGCCAAGGACTGCTGACAGACTTGGGTGCCCTGCTCTTTCCTGCTGGAGTAGGGAGCCAGCCTGTCCCAGACACAGCAGTACAGGCTTAAGGGGTGAGTAGCTATCTATGGTTTGAAGGTGTGTTGAAATTCCAGCCCTGCCCATTAGCAGGTCACCTGACTGTCCATTTGTAAAGGGGTAGAGCATACCCATCTTCTAAAACTCACAAGGTAAAGCAAAGAAATGCTCCCTAAGCCGGGTGGTGGTGGTGGCGCACACCTTTAATTCCAGCACTCAGGAGGCAGAGGCAGGCAGATCTCTGTGAGTTTGAGGCCAGCCTGGTCTACAGAGCGAGTTCCAGGACAGCCGAGGCTACACAGAGAAACCCTGTCTCAAAAAAATCAAACCAAACAAAAATGCTCCCTAATAATGGGCTGTGGTGGCACACTGCGAGCCTAGCACTCAGAAGGCTGAGGCAGAGAGATCTGAGTTCAAGAGCAGCCTGGGATGACCCTGTTGAAACCAAAGCCGTGTTCTGCAACCCTGAGGCTTCCTCGTCTACCCTGAGGAGCATGAGACCAATTTTGCTGCTTCTGCCTTTGTCTCTCCCACCTCTTATATCCAAGGTGGGCTCAGTAGAAGAACCCTGATAACAATGGTGAGAAACCCTCTGTGGTTCCCTATTACCCAAGAATAAAGGACGAGGTCTCTCCGGACCTGCACCTGGCTGACATGCTCCTCTTTGAAGTACTTCTCACACCTAGGGTGACAGGGCAAGCTCCCTGACCTGAAGACTTTCCTCCTCAGAGGAAGTAGGTAGCAGCTTGAGGTGTGAAGGTCTGACTAAAGCCAAGGGCTCTGGGGATGGGTCTTGGAGCGCAGAGAAACCTTTTCAGGGGCAGGTTTGGGGTTGAGCCTCAGAGGAAAGACTGAGGTGGGCAGAGGAAGCCATGAGCACAGGCAGCACCTGGGACCTCTGGTAAGTAAGGTCTTTCAGCTGCCAAACCAGCAATTCTGTGCTAGAGGACCAGAGGACATTTGGGCCGCTGCGGAGGGGGCTTGGCAGCCACCGGTTATCATGGGGTGTCAGCAAAACAAGCTTAATGGAACATGGGGAGACTGACCAACAAAAGGTTCCAATGACAGCTATCCCTGAGGTGCTGGCCTGGAGCAAAAGCCCTCACCTGAGCACCTTGTGTGTGATGTCGTCGTCCGTGATTCCGCTGTACGTCAGCTCCTCGTTCCACACAGGGTTCAGTGTGTTCCTCTGGGTTTTAGTCTTTAGCTTATTGGCCTGTGGCATGGGGGACAAAGGGCTCTGACGCATGGACCCTGGGGCCCCAAAGGCTGCAGGTGGGGGCTGGGAGGGACCCATAAGTCAAGCCAATGCTGGAAGGAGACATACCTTGCAGGCTCCCGGCAGGAGGTGCAGTTTGACATAGGGGTCAGCCAGGCCATTGAAATCCATGGGCTTGAGGCCCTGCAGAATATGTGCAAAGGGGGCTTTAGACTCCCAAGCCTTCCTCCCTCCTCCTGCAGGACTGAATCCCCACAGAGTACAGTTCCAGAGATGCAGGAATCTGCTCTGGTTGGGGGAAAATACAGCCCCCACCCTAGGGCAACAGCCCAGGAAGAAGGGACGGGCACCTTGGCCCTGAGGATTCGACAGTGCAGAGTGCAGGAAGCCTGGTCATAGAGAAGGTCGAATTCCAGAGTGCCCAGGGCAGCTGCAGACAAGGGAAGAGAAGAGGGAGAAGGTAGTGTGTTTTTGGTCCAAGTCCAGGGTGTGAGACCTAGTGGCTAGAAGACCGTGTCCACATCTCTGCTGGCCTGCCAGTGTGTGTGTGTGTGTGTGCAAGAGGCTGAGCAGCCATGTGCATGCCTGCGTCTGGGTCCCTGGCTCGGCCGCAACTGACTGTGTGGGTGGTGGAGTGTCTCAGCAGAAATATTGAATATTGAGCCTTGCTGAAGCTGTAATCTGTACCCAGACTGCAGCTGTGGTGGCAGGACTGTCCCCCCTCCTCCCCACCCTCCACACACACACACACACACACACACACACACACACACACGGGAGGCTGCTCCCTTCCACAAGCCCGCTGAGCCCCCAGACTCACTGGTATCATCCGAGTCGTAGCTGTCTACCTCAGCTCCATCATCGGGTGTGGTGGCCCCAAGGAGAGCCGCAGGGGGGGCCAGAGCCAGAGGGGTCAAATGAGCTGGGGCATCCCCGCAGCCCCTGCTGCCAGCAGCCTCTGGTCCTGGCCCCCTGCGAGGGAAGTAGTCCGAGATCTGGCGAATGGGCCTGATGGGTCCAGGACACACGTTGATGGCCATGTGCTCCTGGATGTTGATGGTCATGCGGTCGCCCCTGCGGCCCCTCATGCAGCACCTCTGGCTGGGAGACGGAGACGGGTGCAGGGCTGGAGTGGCTGACTGGGGTCTGGAGAAACCTCACTGCCCTCCCTGGATGTCAAGGGAGAGGTGATCTGTGCTAGCTGGTGGGCAGGCAGGAGGCCTGGCTTCACAAGGGGCTGGCTGGGTTGCCAGATCAGTCCTGGCAGACAGGTCGTGACTCCCCTTAACACTGCCCCACTACCTGTACATTGTCCCTCTGTCACCTTCCCAGGACTTTCCTCTCATTCTAGACTCCCCCTCTGTTCCCATCCCTTCAAACCCCACAGCTCCCCCTCCTTTGCTGCTCTGAGGCTCTGGCCATCTTCTCCATCAGGCGCGGGTCTGGCCAGGCTGTCACCCACCTCTGCTTGTCTTCGCTCAGCCCAAGCTTCTGCCTGCCTGCCTAGTCCCTAACCCGGGCCAAGGTTTTTTCCTCCTCTCACCCTCACCCGCGCTCCCCTGGCCGGCCCAGCCCCCGCACCTGTCCCTGGGCCTCCAACAGGTGCCCGGCACGGGCGGCCCGCGGGCTCAGGCTGGGCGGCAGCGGCGACTGCGGCGTGGCGGGCGAGGACCGAGCGACAGGCGGCGCGGGGCGGGAGTGGCGGGAGCTGCCGCGGGCGGCCGGGAGGGGCGCGGGGCGCCGAGGGCCAGGCAAGGGCCCCAGAGCGCACGCGAGTGCACACCCGACACGTGTGCTCGCGCTCACACCCGCCCGTGCTCCTCGGGCCAGCTCACACGCGTGCACACTCACCCGATAACTTGGCGTGCACCTCCGCGAGAGGCGCCCGGTGTTCCCCAGCTCCTCCCGGGAGACCCAGGCCCCCGCCCCGCCGCGCAGCCCTGGCGCCTCCCGCTGCCCCGCCTCTCGCCTTCTCTGGCTCCCAGGGCTCCAGGGCCCGACCACCCGGCCTAGTTGCCATAGCGACGCTGGTTCTCACGCACACCCCCAACCCACAAAGCACCCGAGGGGGAAGAGAAGAGGGCAGCTGTCCTACCCCTCGGTGTCCGTGGGCGTGGCTTAGAGATCCGCAGTGACCTAGGGACCCGCCGGGGAAGGAGGGACCTGCCTGCCGCTCCAGCTGCGCTGGGGAAACCTCTTTCGAAGGAGACTGGTTTCCCCACGCCTGCTTCCTTCTCGTAACCGTAACCCAAACCAGCCCCTAGGACCTGATCTCTTTACCTCCTGCCACCATCTGCCATCTCCAGTTCTGTCCCTCAAGCGGGGAGGACCTCAAGGCTTGAACCTGCAGTCAGGAAGAATCTGCACCGCACTGTTTCCCGCCGCACCCCAGTAGGCGTTTTTTACTATTTGACTGAGTCTAGATAGGCAGACCAGGTTGGCCTTGAATTCCTGACCTCCTGCCTCATTGGGGTTACAGACTGGTGCTACCGCCGGAGTCTTCAATCCTAATCTTTGATCCTCTAGTGTCCGAAACTTGCCTCCTGGAAAAACCAAGTCCTCCGAGAGGTCCTTCAAGCCAGGAACTCCCTGCCCACCTCAGGCCTGCAACATGCCACCTGCGGTTTCAAAGGATGCCTCCCGCCCTAGCTCTCTGGGCCTTTGGGTCCTCTGTTCCTGAGAACTGCACTTTCCAGGTCATTCCAAGTCACCCATCCCTAGCACAACCACCTTCCTTCCCCTTTTCCCTTTAGCCTAAAGATCCCCCAGACTCAGCCCTGATGACAGTTGTGTCTGCCTGTTGACGTCCTGTCTTCCATCAGCCCTGGAGTTGTCGCAGTGAAAATGGGCTGATTCATCTCTGAGTCCCAAGTGGTCCAGACTGGGCCTGACATGAAGTCAGCCTCGCTAAATACTGGGACTCAATAGAGAAATTCTGCTGCCCAAAAAGCTTAACGCTGACTAACTGTACCCTTGAAGACAGCCGACAGTGTGTGCTTGGTGTACAACAGCTGATCCCCAGCACCGAATAAAGAAGATAATATGGTAAATGCTACCTGTAAGTGTTATGTGTTCATGTTTTAAAACTTTTTAAAGGAGTACTATAAAGTCAAATTATATAACACAACACCCATCACCTATCAAATGCCGGCACACTAATACTGTGGGTCAGTAAGTCAGTGACCCTTCTGCGGCAGCTACTCTGGCAATGGCTGCCAAGATCACAAACACACATACTCCTTGACCTGGAAGTCCCAGCTCTTTGATTTTATCCTATGCATACTAGGTGATATGCAAAATAATAGAAGTTGAAGATTCTTCCCTACAGCTTTTGAAAAGGAAACAAATGGAATGTTCATGCAAGAGAGACTGGTCAATTAGCTATGACATAACTTCCCATATCAAAATAGTATGCAGCCATGAAAAAGGAGGCGGTAAGTAGATAGATAGATAGATAGATAGATAGATAGATAGATAGATAGATAGATAGATCTATCACACACACACACACACACACACAGATTCATCTTCACAATCTCATTCCTTAAACCGGGATGCAGAGTCAGAGCCACACACGTGGAAAATGCTGCCATTTGGTGAGGAAAGACCTTACACATGTTTAATTGTGCATGGATTGTTTCCAGAGAACTGCACAAGAAAATGGTAACTATGGTGACTGCTGGAGAATGAGGCTGCTGGGGAGCAGGAAAGGGCAAGCATAGGAAAGACTTAGCCTCCAACATGCAACTTTCCACATGTTTTTTCTTGTTGAGTCTGGGTCTCACTGTGTAGCCCTGGCTGACCTGGAACTCACCATGTAGACCACGCTGGCCTCCGTTATCTGCCTGTCCCTGCCGTCAAGCACTGGGATTAAAGATAGATGCCATTTGAATGCTTCTAAATTGTGCCACGTGCATGTTACCTCTTTGAAGAGCATACACATTTGAGGAAGTGAGATAACTCAATGACAGTGGCACATGCCCCACGAGCCTGAGATGGCTTCCAGGAGTCCGCAAGGTCGAGGAAAGAGAGAATTCCTACAAGTTTCCCTTTGACCTCTACACATGGGCCATGGCACATGGTACACACAGACACAAATCAACAAATACTAAAAAGTTTTAAATTTGTTCATTGTGCATACAAGACCAGACCCAGGGCCTTGTATAGACAAAGTGTGTATTCTTCCACTGAGCTATAGCTCCCAGACTAAAGTGATAAGATTTTCAAGCAGCCACAAGGCCCTTTCGTAACCCTCCAGGGTAAAGAAGGAAGCAAGAAGTCAGGCCTGCAGCACAGGCCTGCAATCCCAGAAAGATCGTCCATGAGTTCTAGGCCAGCTTGGTCTACATAGTGAGTTCCAGATCAGCCAGAACTATAGAACAAGGGGCGGGCGGTCAAGGGAGATACAGGAGCGGGCAGTAAGGGGAAGAGTGTGATCCGTGAGTCCCCCACTTCTGTCTTCTCATGGCGCACAGCTTGGAACCATCCCAGCATGCCTTGCAAAGGCTCCCCCAAAGGCAGGAGCCCAGGAGCTTGGCAGACAGTGATGAGCCTTATCCATTCAGAGTAGGAAAGCTCTGTCCCCCACACACTTATGTCCCGTTCCCCCGTCATTTCTTGAGTACTTTCTAGGCAGCAACCTCCAGCCTCACAGCCCTTTAGGGCTCACAGACACACAGGTGATTCCAGCAAGCGAGGTGGGCAGAAGGGTGAAGGACGGCCCCGAGCCTGAGTGCTTCAGGGCCCCCTTCCTATGGGAAATGTGTCAACCTGCATTTCTAAGATGAGGCATGAACTGGATCTGGAGGGGAGTTGGGGTGGCTTAGGCAGGTCTGAGAGCGTCTGGAAGGCAGTCATGAACATAGATATGGAGGGCATGCCTGTGATCCCAGCACTCAGGAGGTGAAGGCAGGAACCCAACCCTGAAGCTGGCCTGTGCTATGAAACACAATCCTATCTCAGAAAGTTAATCAATCAATTGAGGAGAACTTAGAATATAAAGAGTGGCCTGAAACCAGTGTGACTAGAAGCTTGAAGGATGGAAAATGGGATGAACAGGTAGACAGGCTGGTCGGGAAGCTCTCATACAGGAGGTTTTCCTGTAGCGTGTTGGGTTGGAATGGTTCCCGCTGAACGGTTGAAGTTGGGTCTTAGGAGGCAGGAGGCGGTGTAGCTTTACCAGAACAGGAGGGAAACCTGGAGAGGGAGGTTTCTGCCTTGCCTTGCCCTCCTCCTTCCCCTTCCTGCCCCTTTCTCTTTATCCCCCCAACCCCACTTCTTTGAGACAGAATCTTGGTATACATCCCAGGCTGGTCGGGATCCCTGATTGTCAACCTCTCCTACCTTGGATTGCAGCTGTATGCCACATCTACACAGAGAAGCTTCCTGTCAGAAATGGCACCGGCAGATGCTCACCTGGGGACTGTCCGGTAAGAAGGAAGACCTAAGATAATTCTCGGGTTCCCGGTCTAGGGAAATCATGGAAGCACTGTTGAAATGGAGAGAGGGGAGCAGGCTTAGAGAAAGAGAATCGAGAGCTTCGTGTAGGGTTATTGCACTCGAGATGTTTTTCGACACGGAGACATAAAGCAGGAAGTTGGGTATAGGAGTCTGGAGCGCTGAGGAGAGGTCTGGGCTAGAAATATACATTTGTGAGTCATCAGCATATAGATGGTATTTAAAGCCGTGAGAATGGATGAGATCACCTAGGGAGAGGGAATATACATGGAAAGAGAAGGCCAAGGCCCAGCCAGCCAGAGGAGTGGGGGGGGGGGACTAGTCAGGGTGAGGGACAGGGCACCCTGCTGAGACACAAAATAAAAAGGGAAGTAATCCCCACTGGTGGACATCAGCAAAGGGGCGCTAGTGAGGCCAGCGGAGAGCAGACCGCCCCTCAGGGGGACTGAGGGTGCGCAGGTAGCAGGTGCCTGCTAGTCCTGTCAGGTGTCTCTCCCAAAGCAAGGCGCACCTGTGAGCTGTGTCTCAGGCTCCCACAAGACAGAAATTGCCCATCCCTCCCTCCTTCCTTCCCTCCCTCCTTCCTTCCCCTCCCTCCTTCCCTTCCTCCTTCCTTTCTCTCCCTCCCTCCCTCCCTCCTCACATG